TCTACCTGATTTGAACGTCCTAGGTCCACGGGGACAGGAGTTATGATTTCCGCTGAAACATTTTGGTTGCACAAACCCCGCCCCCTGTGGGCGGGGTCCGGTCCTGCCACCCACCACATGTGTTCCCATCCTGCCGCCTGTGCTCCTACCAAATTTGAACGTCCTAGGTCCACGGAGACAGAAGTTATGAATTTCCGTACAAACAGACAGACAGACAGACAGACGCGAGCGCTTTATATAAAGTAAGGATAGCTTATGAACTTTAACAGTTTCTTTTTTTCCTTGGCACTTTCCGGACCTGTTGGTCTGATCACCATTTGTTGACTGCATGTGTAACGACTCGAAAACTTTTACCAAGTAAAGCCTACGGTTATTCATCGTAGTCTCTCCAAATAAATTTCTCAGAGGCATTTCTCCTACACATCTTCAATGGCATCATTAAGTCAATGAAATTTTCTAACGTCAACGTGAATCACTATCGATGGTAATAGGAGTAAGAAGGCTGAAATTTTTGATATTGAATTCCGCAACGTTCAGTGAGATCTCTCAAAAGAAGTATGGATTGGAAATAGTCTACCGGTCGTAATAAAGTGAGGGAGTTCGCCGATTTTGAGAAAAATATGACTCCTTAAAAGTATGGAAAATAGAGGTTGGACGAGATTGCCAGGACGGAAATAACATGGAAGGGGATTCGGACGAGATTTCAGTTATTGCAATTGCACAAAGAGCTGAATACATCAAGCCGGAACTGTACAGAACTGACTTTCACTGTCGTTATGGATCCTAACGAGTTGCTTAAGCCTCCTACATGGGACCCCTTGTGAATGGTACGGCCTCTACCATGCCGGTGAAACTCGTCCGAGGATACACACGGTATAATCTTTGAGCCTTTATAACACCCTATTAGGACGACATAATAGCGTCAGATATGGTATACGAGGGGACCTCTTATTCACTCTATGGGAAAATCTCAGAAACCATTCGCATCGTGAACTGTGCCTTCAAGAATGAGTTTCTTACTAGTAAACAATAAGTAAAGAATACCTAACCCTCTAACCTATTTCGTTATGTTTGGGGTCATAGTGGTGAGAATTCCTGGAACTTTTAGCGCACATGAGAGTGGGCTACCAGAGCTCAGTTTTCGTTCTTGAATGTTTTTACGTCGTCCTGCAACTCTTGCAACCATCAAGACTGGACCGGTTCTAGGATACTTTAAGGGTTCAGAAAAAGCGAATCAGTATCCCTTTTGTTTTTTCTGGGCACTTGACTGATTAATGTCGGTTTTTGCCCGTTTTTAATCGTCTTTCTTGTCACAGCAACTTTACTTCCTAGCCGTGGTAAAGTAAATTCTTATTCACGCCAATTCTACCGGTAATCTCTAACGCTACTCATGCTTGAGCGTGTTTCCATTGCTCGCACAAAAAATTATTATCCTTCTAAGTGGGCTACCTGTATCTAGTCCAGCCGACATACCACACACTAGTTGGAGTAATGAATTGAGCCATTGACCTTCATCAACTCCGCTTTGGGATGCATCCTGCATTCGACCTTCATTCGAAATATAGTGACGGTTTGGATGGGTATGTGACCACATACATCTATTTGTGGTGACCAACCAATGTACAAGTCTGCATTTTCATACTCTCAGACGGGTTTGCTAAGAGTTCACCAAACCTGGAGAGATGGAAGGCTCAATTGGCTTGGATAGTGTCGACTTGAGGATTCATACTCCGACCTCACCTTACTCATTACTGGCTGCTTTGATAGACTCGGCCTCGTAGAGCAGAGGTGGTGGAGAAATTTGAATGAAAACTCATAAGTCATATGAGTCTACGGATTCACTGTGGCCCGAATGACTCAACTGTAGTAATCCTCATCGGCACTATACGCAGATGTCTGGTTGAACATCCATGAAATCCTCCAGCTACCTTAGAGCCGCAGATAAACAGGCAGGTAAGTTTTCGTGGAACTTTTGATTGTACCTGTTATCGGAATGACAGACAAACTTTTATACTTTTTGGCTTTTTCGTCTTCGTCAGAGGCCGGAAAGTCAACGATAATTGCTTTCCAACCTTACACTACAATTAAACTTCGAAAAATACGTCCCAATACCAAGTGGTTCTATGTAGGCGCGACAACACTGGGTTTAGGGAACTGGTTTTTCAAACTTTCAATTGTAGTATGAGGAAAATAAGACGCAAATATCGTTGCCTTTCCAAACTCTGACGAAGTCGAAAAAGCCGAAACCTAGGTCGAATTAAAGTTTGTTTGTCATTTTTGTGACAGGTTTGATTAAATGTCTCACGAGAACCATTCAGAGCCGTACCAAGATTAATCGAAAGTCGAACTCGGTTAGTTAAGCAGGTAGATGTTCTGCTCATGTCCTTAGAACCCTAAAAATGTTGAGTGATCTAGAGATGGTGCAGAATGGCTTGTAACTGAAGGAACACTAAATGTGTTCATCCAAGAAGAAGTTGTCTATCTATTTTTTAGCTCACTTTTTGAAATTTCTTCTCTGCAACAAGGAGGTTAAGTACAAGGAGTTATGTACTTTTTTGGGTCAGATTAAAGAAATCGTTCGTATCTGTCGAAGAAACTGAGAACTCAGAGAACTACAGTAGCTCTGATCATTTTTATGCAGAACTATAAAACACAAAGGACAACAAACAAAAGGGACGTAAAGCGGAAAGATTGTACTTAATGAAGTAGCAAATCACATGAGAATCGAAGTCATNACTTTCACATTACCAAGTGAAAGGTAAACTCCTTGACGGACACGGGCAATACATCGCATCCGGTCCATGTCGGCCGTCCATTCCAACGACACCGTGTTGACCATCCATGCCTGGCACACCGTTCAAGCCTGGAATACCAGGTATCCCCGGCGGACCCTGTTCACCATCTTTGCCGTCTTCGCCATCTTTTCCAGGTGGCCCTTCAGGACCGAGTGGTCCTGGGAATCCTGGCACGCCCTGTGGACCTTGAGTGTATTGAGTCCCATGTTCACCGGGCCTACCAGGAGTGCCCGGAATTCCCTGTATTCCTTCTATGCCCTGGTCTCCAGGAGGTCCTGCTACACCAATCGGACCTGGGACACCCATTACACCGGGCATTCCAGGTGGTCCTGGTGGGCCAGCAGGTCCCGTATCTCCCGGTGGTCCTGCATCACCATTTCGTCCTGCTGGACATCTAATACAACCGTTACCATTAGTATCACCTCTTGGTAATAGCTGCGATATTCCAGATAGACCGGGTTCGCCAGGTGGACCATCCTCACCAGGGATTCCTGGTAGGCCGGGTATTCCGGGTGGGCCATCTGGCCCTGGAGGACATGAAGTTGCTGCTACTCCACAGTTGCACTCATTGCTATTGTTGCTGCTGGTTGTATTGGTTTCACTGAGACGCTTTCCCCTGATGAATGGATGTCGAGATGAATGTGAAAAAGCTTTGATCTCGTTATCATTATATTCAGCCATTATCAGGCTCCATGCGCCGTCCGTTTTGCCCTGAAAAGTTGGACTATACTTGAGAAAAAAATGGTTACTACTTTAGTAGAGTTTTTTTTTACTAAGGATCATGACGATATAGAAGGTATTGCCACTTTTCTGCCTTTTGGAGATACATAAACCCGCGACTAAACGTATGAAGCCAGGATACCTGGGGGATACTGTAGTACTCACCCTGAATTCCTCCATTTCGCCATGAATATCATTATGAAGTTCATGGAGTTCATTAACGATTACGGCCATAGCTATGAGCGAAGCAGTTATTATGAAGGCGGTGCCACTAGTAGCAATGACGTACCACATAGACATCCTAAAATAATTTTCTTTAAATTTCAAAAAAAGCGGTTGGTATACGTGACAGCACGTTATGTGCACGAAAAATACATGATCCGATTCTATTGATTTCTTTTTTGCGACAGGAAATCAATAATTTGAGTTCATTACTTAAAAGAAAATATTGCCTGCAATAATCAGTAATAAAAGGAAACTTTGGTAACATTACTAAGGGCGCTTTCGAAGCGGAAGTGAGTTTACGAGGTTTGAGCACGTTATTTATAAGCACGTTGGTAAGACGAGATCGGCATCGACCTTCAAAAGAACGGCCGTTGGTTCCACTTACTAACGCCTTATGTGGAGAAGAATCGCTAAACTGTCGTAGTTTCATTGAAAAAACACTCAGATTACATACAGAAAAACCTTCGTCTGCATGGTAATTGCTGTTCATCCGATTCATGTCAACCGAATAAGAAAACAAAGAGAAACCCATTATGAGGGCAGTTTAGATCGAACGAGTTCTCGAGTCCGACGGGTATAGCCAGGGTCAAGCTCGAGGGTGAATAGTAGCTTGGTTGAAATGACTTCGCTGGTTCAGTAGACTTCCCGACTGAATACGACACCCAGATTTTCATTGGAGTTCCTGACTAATTTTTCAACACTTTTCACCTACAGCCTTTCTTGTTGAGCCAGCTTCTGGGAAGCCTGAAGGATGGGGAAATCAGCATTTTCGACCTCGTGGTACGTACCGTAAAGGAAACGGCTAAGGAGGACATGGGACAAGGGATAAGGAGCTAAAGAAGAGCGCAGATTATGCAAAGCAGGAGAGGTCAAGAAGACAAATCACAAGAACAGTGGACCCTGCTTCAGTGGATTAATGCTCTAAAGAAGGAGGGAAGAAATCGGTAGGGAGGTGGGGAGGAAGGAAGATGGGTGTGGGGGGGGCATAATAGAGATCCGAACAAAAAACAAAAGTAGTAACTTAAATTGTCCCGAATCGTAGCGCGATTCGATTCCCTCCCCAAGACATGAACCAGTAGGATACTGACTGCCGTCGCTGTTGCTAAAAATGGATTCAATGCAGGATGGCCACAAATCACTCATTTTCATTTTTGTGTAACGAGCACTGATTCTTGTTTGCCTTTCATTTTACCGCAGGTCTATATGTGATCAATTTTGATGGTCTTTTTTGCACTTTACAAGTAATTAGTTCCACAAAATTGTTTCGGCATTCCCTTTCATTTATGCAGAAAGAAGTCATTTATATGCGTACCTATACAATGATTAGCTTTTTTAGCATATTATGTGCATTACAACCACTAAGCGAGAGTGAGAATCGTCTAGCGTACCGCTGACGGCGTAGTGGGCGAAATAAGGGGCTATCGTACCCTTGAAAGACACTAAACGCTACTATTGCCTTTGTATGTGTGTCATAAAACTTGTCACTACCTCAGAAAAGCTTCCTATGACAAAGCTGGATGCATGGGTGCCTTGTCATTAAACTTTTTGACCGAATGATACACCTTTCAACTTGCACTTCCACGAGGAAACGCACAAGAGTATGCAAAAATAACTAAAATATCACGAACCCAATGAAAAGATTGAAAAAAGAATGAAAGATTCGAGTGTTGATCAAACTTTTCTAAGGGATACTTCCCTAGATTCCGACTACCATTCAGAACCGTAGTGGTGTATTGAATGGCTGCTTTCATAGCTCGCCGGCCGGCCGGCGTGCCGGCGCGCGTGCCGGCGGAGGCAGTGCTAGCGGGGAGGAGGGNGGCAGACAGATAGGCAAACAGTCAGAAATATGTTCAGAAAGTCATCTTCATATACGCCAAATTATGCTCTATTACTTCGAGAAGTGTTGGAAGGCGGCCCACTCATAACGTGATCTCACCGAACTTCTCGGCGATGGAACAGTCAGGCAAAGCCGAACAAGGGAAGGAGTCTGCATCTGCCTCCTATGGATTATCACGTCAATCGCCCTTTGAAAAAGTGGTTAAGGAACACATCATTCGACGAAGTGGACGGCTTGATGGCCAACGTCGAGGCGTGCTCGCCATCAAGAATCGAAACTCTTCGCCTGTGGAATCCGACCGCCTAGCAAATGGGAAGCAGTGCTTGACGTAGATGGTGTATATGTTCCGGAGCAATTATTTGAACATGTCTTTGCTAAAAATTTTTATCGTTTTACTAGTAAAATTTGCTGGGAAAAATCCGCAATAGTTATGCATCAACTTAATAGAATTAAAAATAAACAGAGCACTCAATTAGTGTTGACGCTTTGCTTACGAAGCTGCTTACGAATTCTGGAACGTAGCAATAATCAGCCATCAATGTTTAAATTTTCCCTTCGCTGCGAGTTCCCTATAACAGAATAGTCTGATTCAAAGGGTAATGATAAGGTTTCTTACAGTGACCACTCCCTTTTTAGGATGCACCAATAATGAAACTACTGTAGATCACGCAGCACACGTCGCGCGCGAAGCCCATCGTGCGCGCGCTGCTGTAGCGGTCTAACATATCACTAGTCGGGGATCTACAACTCGCTGCTTACTACAACCGCTAGTCACATTATTTTCAACCAGTCGGTTCACCCTGCTAACGCCGGGCTTCCCTCCTTCTTCGACAGAGTTATAGTAATCGCCTAACTGTCCACTCCTTCTTCGAAGCAAATAATAGTTTCATGTACACAAAATTTGAGACAGGACTATCAGGACAGTGCAAATGGTATTCAGTGAGAGTCGGTGCTTACGCCTTTGATTGTAAGTGTCGATTTCCTGCTCTCATACTTGAAATAAATATCCAACCAACTAAGATTCAACTGTTATACGACCAAAGCCTTGGGCGGTACTTACAAATGTTTCGAGTGGTGATAACACCATTATCAGATGGCCTCATCAATAGACCCTTCTCTTTACGGAGATATCATTAGTTGATGAGAATTCGAAATTACTGGCGGTCGATTAAGTTTTGATGCAAATGATATCGAACAAAGAGAATCCTTCATTAGTTGCAAACCTTGCTGTGTAGCGGTCGTAACCTAATAGCAAGAAACGAACAAAATTCTCTCTGCTTATCGTAGTCCCAGTGATGAGTCCCTATCACTGCACTTACCATTCACTTCTGCCACCCTACTCTAGCATCACGTCAAATCGAATGAAACACACTGGATAGTCAAAGCTACATCGTAAATAGCGAAGACGTTAAAGTTTGGATCGGTAGGTGGCCTCTCTTAGGTCCCTTATCTTCCCTTATCAAACATTATCGGTTCCTCTCATCGAGTACCTACGATTCCGTCATATCCTACGTCACTTACCGAAATGCCGAAGTTCCACTGGTAATAGCAAAAGTGTAATCCTACCAAATTTGACCGCTCTAGGACCACGTAAACAAAAGTTGTGCATTCGCGGGCCAAAATTTCTATCACGCACGCCCCGCCTTCTATAGGCGGATTCCGGTCCTACCACCCATCATAAGTCTTCACATCTTGCCTGCTGCGCTCCTACCAAATTTCAACGCTCTAGGTCAAAGTAAACAGGGAGTTATGAGTTTGCGGCCTAAAATTCCCATCACGCACGCTCCACCTCCTGTAGGCGGGGTCCGGCCCCGCTATTTCCCATGAGTGCTCCCATCCCACCCCCTACTCCTACGGAATTTGAACTGTCTAAGTTCACGGGAACAGGTGTTATGAACTCCCGTTCAAACACACACACACCGACACACACACACAAAGAGACACACCGAGAAACCTACACTTACTTCGTGATTTATTTATAGTAGGATGTTTGCGTCTCGATAAGGTATTGCTTTTTTCTTCCTTCCTATATCAGCTACAGGGAAACTAATCCGACGCAAAATATGGAAATCGGTCGTGGACTTTTGATAGTAATGTTATTAAGAGTTGAGGACAATAATAACTACCATTCAAAATTTTTCGGTCGACTGATCAGGTTAGTCAGTCATAAAGGCGTTGAGCCAGCGATGCTAACAAAGGAAGAGCTTATCCATCAGCAGTGATAAGATCCTGGGATCCTGAGCGAATGATATTTCTTTCCACAAAAATGATGAAAGAGGCAATATCGATGAAAGGAAGCTCAGCAGAGACAGAGCCCCTAGAGCTCAACATGTAGTGCCAATTACGCTCATGAATTTTAAAAAAATTCAAAAGAAAGTGGCGAGTCAGTCGATCGCTTCCACTTCGCCCTATGAGAGGAGGGAATTTCACTGCGGGTTGTTAGACTGAGATGAGAATGGTAGAGAATGGAGAAAGAGCAACGAATGAGGTAGCTGAATTCCAAAGTCTGCATAGGTAGACAGTGTATCATGCCAGTGTCGATCGAAGTCACAGTGTCGAAGTACTCGCTTCACTCCACACTCACTACATTCCGTTGCACTCGCTCCATTAGCCTATCCACCAATTTACTGCTTTACTTACAAGAAGGAAACGTTGGATAGAGCTAGGTTTTTCATATCAAGACCTTTATCGTAATCATAAGTTTTGCGAACGGACAGACCGACAAACCTACAAACCGACATACCGACACACCGGCAAACTTACAAACCGACACACCAAGTTTCTGCTTTATAAATGAGAAAGATTCTTCTAACCTCTGTTTGGAGAATGAACTGAACAAGCCTTAGTCTGCTTCCACTCTGCTCCTTCTGAAAACAGATTTGCTGTGACACGGTCATTTTGTACGGCAAGCGAGCTGAATAGTCTACCTCCCGAGCTCCAGACCGGCTGTCGCGAGCAGGCGGGAACATTACCCTCGCGGAACTTCAAGAAAGAGTATGGTTCGTTTCTTTCGTAAATTATCCTGCTTACTTTCTCCGTTTGTGTGCGATCCTACCCTTTAGAGTGGCTCCCCTTCACATTCCAGAAATCCTTTTTATTTATCAATGCATATGTATATGCTTATATTATTTTCTACTTATTTGTTGGTCAATGTTGCATTCAAAGATTCGCGCGCGGGGAAGTAATAAAAATCGATGAACCTGACAGCATTGTAACGTCTTGTATGCGAGGTAATGCA